CACCCCCCCGGGGGGATGGTCACGCCGCAATCCCTTCTCCTCCATTCTCCTCTTGGGATCTTGGGCACGCACGCACACGCGCCCGGCGTGAGTTTTAAGCCACTGGGTCCGGGACACAAATCGCGGTCGACTACGTGGGAATCCAGCGACATAGCCATTACGCTAACTGCTGGTTCCCTGATTCTATCTTTTTTAAAAATGTTTTTTGCTATAGGATGTGTGCACTTGCCAGAGAAACAAAGAAAAAGAGTGATAGAAAGCAAGGAATCACCCCCAAAGGGAGATGGCCACACTGCAATCCCTTCTCCTCCATCCTCCTCTTGGGATTCTTTGCATGCATGCACACACACCTGGCATGAATTTCAGGTCACCAGGTCTGGGACTCAAACCACAGTTTACCATGTGGGAGTCCATTGCCTTAACTACTATGCCACCTGCTGGCCCCTAGATTCCATCTTATCTTCATAATTCTAGGCCAAATAGGGGTACAGTATTATTATTAGCTATTTAACAGCATCGGCCTCACAGCCAGAACTCTAGTTTAAATGTTGAAGAAAATAAACATGCTCTTATTACTTAAGGGAGCTACCTGATTCTTATAGTAGTAGCACAGTTATCACTCCTGCCACAACCCCAAGATCTCTCATCTGTTTTATTTTTTTATCATTTTTTAAATTTACATTTAATCACTGTACATCTTTACAGTGCTGATTTGAAAAAGAAAGAGAGAAAGAAAGAAAGAAGGAAAGAAGAAAGAGGAGAAAGAAAGAAAAAAAGAAGAAAAAGAAAAAGCATACCTGCTAATTCTTACCTCTAAGGTTAAGCTATTTGGAAGATTATATCTCCTAATTATTTATAGTATATCCCAGAATTAATCCCCTGCTATAGACCAGGAAATACTTCTTCATTCTTGCAGTGTAAACCTACTTAAAGTAATGAGAAGATTTAAGTTGAGTGGGACCAACTTTCACCCTAAAATTAGATGTGGTGATTAGCCAATATTTGCAGTTATAAAAAGTATACTCTATCCTGTGTTTCCTAATCAAAATAAGAGTTCCTTGAGAATGGGACCTTTGCCTTGACTTTCAGACTGCCATCATTTTTGCCGCTTTTATAGAACTCATCATAACAGCAAATGCTTAGCTTCTTCAGAGCCTCCTTGACATCTTTGTTTTTGAGGCTATAGATAAGGGGATTACACATGGGAGTGACAACGGTATATAACAAAGAGAAGGCTTTGTTGAGAGCTGGCACCTGGTTCTTTAAGGGCACAGCATAGACCAAGATCAAGGTCCCATAAAACAAGGTCACAACCACTAGATGAGAGGAGCAAGTGGAGAACGCCTTCTGCCTACCAGTCACAGAAGGTATTTGCAAGACCACTGAAAGAATTCTCCAGTAGGAGGCAAGTGTTAGTCCAAAAGGGGCCAGAGTCACCAGAACTGTTAGACTCATGCAGATCAGGTTGACCAGATGGGGGTCTGAGCGGGAGAGCTTTTGCAGAGGTTTCAAGTCACAGAAGAAGTGGTCAATCTCATTGCCATCACAGAACGTCAAGGTGGATACCATAGTAGCCTGGAACACAGCTGCAACTGTGAAGCCACTAACCCAGGAGCCAATTATTAGCCTCACACATATGGTTCCGTTCATTAGTGTTGGATAGTGCAAGGGCTGGCAGACAGCTAAGTACCGGTCATATGACATCACTGCCAGAAGATAACATTCAGTGCTGCCCAGGGCCCCAAAGAAGTAGAGCTGAATAATACAACCTGTCATCGAGATCACTCTGTTTTCCCTCAGGAAGTCCACCAGCATTCTGGGCACAATGTTAGATGTATAACAGATCTCCAGGCATGACAAGGTTGCCAAAAAAAAGTACATTGGAGTCTGTAGTCCCCGCTGAGTGCTCACCAGGACCACGAGGAGAAGATTCCCAGAAATGGTAGCTAGGTAGATAATGCCAAACACCAGGACAAACAAGGGACTCAATTCTTTGAGGTCTCCAAACCCCAATATGATGAACTCAGTTACCACCATGCTGGTATTTCCTGGTCCCTCAAAAGTTAAAAGTTCCTGAGGACATGTCAGCTTCTCCATATCAATTTGTCAAATAACTCTACTGCTTAAATTTCCCACATAGTCCAGTTCTATTAATGGTTAGAGCTCTGCACTCATGAGGGTATTTCTTGGAGTTAGTTCTCATCAAAGTTAAATTTGCCCTCAGAAAGCTGTTTCTGGAAACACATGAACTTATCATCTGCTCAGAGTGTGATAAAGGAATGAGTACACTACATGAGAGATGGGATGACTCAGTGAAAATCTGTCCTCATCCCTAAAGGAACAATCTAAAGTATAACTGTACTGGTAGCAAGTTGAGATCCCCAAATTTACATCTGGAGGAGACATATAGAGCCCATGTTTGGAATCCATTATGCCATTAAAATGGCAGAAGACACTCCCAAGGAGAATCCTTATTGAATGTTGACAATTGAAAGAAATGGTAGGCCAGATAGAAAATCATGTGTGACCTTCTTGATCAGAGCACGAAATAAAGACTTAAATGCCAGGAATGACGGGAGCAGAGAATTATGCCATTGATGTTACTCAGCCATCCACACTTGTCTGGTAGCTCCATCCCCGAGGTAACAGAACAGCAGTCACTGGAGAGTACATTCTGGAAAATCAGGCGGAGACCCTAAAACAGAGTAAGGATTTTTTTTTTATTTTTAAATGTTGTCCTATGAAAGACTGAATTTTAGGCTGCTGAGGATGAAGTGTAGCAGCTGACATCTAAAACTACCGATTAGACTAAGGTGCATACACCTACACATGCAAACACACACACACACACACACACACACACACACACACACACACAGGTAGTCACATACACAGAGAGAAAAGGTACACATGATATCCTCTTTGTCATCACTTTTTAAATTTGGGATTCTCAGATTAATCTTCAAAGAACTGGAATATTTGTTCCAATTCACATATGCTGACATTAGAGAGGTAATAGGGATGGGTTAGATCATAAGGTCCAAATAACCAGGCTTTCCCTATACATCATCAGCTATGAAACATAAGTTAGCATGTTTTCCCATTCAGTTTGATATTGGTCTGGTTTGTGAGGCAGTGTAGCATAATGACTTAGCATATGAAACTTTAAAGTCAGACTGCCAGAGGTCAAATCCCAGCCTCTCAATTTATTGGCTGTAGGAGCTTGGAAAAGTTACCTAAACTTCTCTGTTGCTAGGTTTTCTCATTTTAAATATATATATACACACACACACACACACACACACACACACACACATGAATAATGAAAGTTATCTACTTGGGGCCAAGCAGGTGGCATGGTGGTTACAGCATTGGACTCTTACATGGCCTACTGCAGTTTAAGGCCCAGCCCTCTGGGGAGTGATTTCTCTCTCTCTCTCTCCCTCTCTCTCTCTCGCTCTCTCTCTCTCTGGTGAGCTCAAGCTTCCTATGGCAAGAAAAGAAAATCAGAGTATCTCCTTGCAATGCTGTTATAAAAAGTACATGTAAAGTAATTAAAATAGTGACTGAAGCATAGTGAGCACTATATAGACATTACATATTTTTATTCACAAAATAATTTTGTTTATAAAGATAACCCCACAGGGGCCAGCAGGTGGCACAGTCGTTAAAGTGCTGGACTCCCACATGGCTGACAGTAGTTTGATTCCCAGACCCTGATGGCTTACTTTCTCACTTTCCTTCTCTCTCTCTCTTTCTCTCTCTCTCTCTCTCTCTCTCTCCCACTCTCATTCACACACACACACACACACACACACACACATCAAATAAAATAAATACATAAATAAATAAAATTAAAACAAATAATTTTAAAAGAATTACAAAACTCACAGAATCATTAACCGATCTTACAAATCACTGTACTTAAATAAGATAAAATAATATAAGTGCACAGGAGGAAAGTTGCACATTTTTCCTTAGTTTTTAACTGTAATCTATCACTGCTTAATTTCACCACTTAATTTAACTTGAAGATAATTTAAGATAACACTAGTTTACATCTATAGAGTTACGTAAGAATTAGATAAGATCATGTATATAAAGTATATTTAAAGTGCCTGCCACAGAAAATGTTCAATAAATCATGGCTGATAACAGCACTAACAACAGTTTGTTTGATGTCATCTAATAGGCATGTGACAGAGCTGAGATTCATAGTTCTATGTGACTCCAACAGTCTGATCTTTCCATGACACAAACCAATTCACTGCCTGCTATTATTTACATGAGTGTGTGTGTGTGTGTGTGTGTGTGCATGTGTGTTCTTCTTTGTAAATATGCAGAGATATTTTAAAATTCTAAGAAGGATCAAGGCAAACTTTCTACCATAATATTTCCCCTTTAAGGCAGTCTTCGTCCTACACATCCACTTTGTACCACTTACCCACCACACACAAGCCATGGGTACCCACACTGCTCTCTTTGTTCTTTTGGCTCCAGTTCCCATCCAGCTCCTGACCTTTGGTTCGACCTCCTCTTTGAGGAAGAACTTGAAGATTTTATTGGAAGTTCTCAGCTCAGGCTCCCACCTCCTCCTTAAGAGCTTTGACTCAGACTCATTCTTCTTGGTTTCCCCAATACTGAGGCCATCATTAAACATTTCTTTTGAAAATTAATCTCTACTCTCACTCTGTCACTGCCTTTCTATCTTACCAGATTCATTTTTATTTATAGCATGTATCACCTCTAACATATATTTTATTTTACATAGTTCTAATAGTCTATCATCTTTAACATAGGCTCCATGAGAGCAGGGATTTCCTCTTTCATTCACATCTGAATACCCAGGACCCAGAACATTACCTGGCATGCACTAGACACAAAGAATATTTGCTGAACGAATGAGCAAGGTATTATTACATAGGGAACAGTGCTGTGCCTTGGAGCTGAACCAAGCCACATTCAAATTTTACTTAGCTCTACCACTTATCACTATGTGACCTTGGACCATTTGCGTGCCCTCTATGTGCTTCCATTTCCTTATCTGTTAAATAAGAATCTTGGGCCAGCTGGTGGTATGGTAGTTAAAGAGGCTGGATCTCACATGGCTGCCTGTGCAGTTCGAGTCCCAGATTCTGCACCTTGAAATACACACCAGGCATATGTGTATGCATGCCCAAAATCCCAAAAAGAGAAAGGAGGAGAAAATATTGCAGCATGGTCATATCCCTCTAGGAGGGATGCTTTCTCACTCCTCCCAGCCCACACAGAGCATGTCCTCTGTAGCAAATTTAAAAAAGAAAGGAAGAAAGAATTTTGACAGAACCCATTAGTTGTCCCCAAATATTGATTCTCTCTATCTAGATCAGGGATTGACAAACTTTTTTTTTTCCTTAAATGCCAGAAAGTAATTTTTTCAGCTAAGTGTTTCATCCAGTCTTTGTTGCAACTATTCAATAAAGCCATCGTACCAAGGAAACATTGCAGAAAATACACAAATGAATGGGAGTGACTGTTTTCCATTAAATCTTTATTTACCAGAAGACGGTTTGGACCTCAGATGTAGTTTGTCAACCCCATTAGCTGGATACATGACTGCCCAACTAAAGTCCACATTTCCTTTGCAGTTCAGTGAAGCCCACAGGGTGCAAATGGAATGAAGTGTATAATTTTTAGATTGTGCCCTTAAAAGAAAAGTACATATCCTCACTTTCCCCTCTTATTTGTCCCACTGTCTTGAGTGCAAACCTGATAGCAGAATCTGAAGCTGCCATCTGGGACCATGAGATGGAAGGTGGGTATTAAAGATAACAGAACAACCACATAGAAGCCGCCCAAGTCCTCAATGTGGTATGCCAGAGTAACCCTGAACAGCCTCTCTGCCCTTTGCATAAAGATAAAAATATTTCTGTTTTGTCTAAGTCACTGAATTTTTAAAATCTTTTTTTGTTACAACAGGCTAACCTGTGCCCTCACCAACAAATGATTAGAACTACCTCCTAGGTTACTGAGATTATTCAACATAGTCCAGTTAAACTACTTAGCATAGTGGTGGGTACAGAATAAATGGCAACTTTCAGTATGATTTCTGTTATTTGTAACTTCATTCCTCTTCTCCATTTTCCCCCTTCTCTGATAATAATTTCTTTCTTAAATAATTTATCCTAACCTAATTTTGATTTCCTCAAGTCCCAGTATTTGGTCAGACCCAAAAACCTTTGAGATGGATTCAGCAGTCCCCTATCTCATGAGCTGAGAAAATTCCCACTCATATGGGAAAGGGGATTTAAACACAAGCAACCAGATTTTTCCCTTTCTTCAAATAAAGCACAAATATCACATTTGACTGTTTTGGGCCTTTTTCACATTTCTAACAAGCTATCAATCTTCAAATTGGGTTATGTGTAGTCCAATTGGCTCCCAACTGGAAGTGATTTTGCCCCTCATCCCAGGACATTTGGAAATAACTGCAGACATTTCTGGTAGTCACAACTGGAAGGGGAGCTATCACTACCATCTAATATGTAGAGGTCAAGGATGCTACTAAACATCATATAATGCGCAGGACAACCCCCACAACAAAGAATGACCTGACCTAAAATATAAATAGTGCTGCTGTTAAAGAACCTTGCCCCCAAGGAAGCATGTAGACAGGGAGAGTCTTAAGAGAAATAATTTCCAATTTATATATATGGATGGACTATTCTTCTTTTTGAAAGACTTATTTATTTGATTTTATGTATTATTATTATTTAAATTTGCTATAGAGAACATGCACTCATGAGAGAGAGAGAGAGAGAGAAAGTAAGAGACAGCAAGCTACAAGGTCCAGGACTCAAACTGTGGTCAGTCATGTGGAAGCCCAGTATCTTAACCATTATGCCACTTGCTGGCCCTGTATGGACAATTCTTAAATACTGATGAGCTGCAAATGTGCTTGAGGTTGAGAAGTCATTCTGGTTCTTCTTTCTCACTTCTCCTTTCATAATTACCCTTTTCTTAGTTTATAAGAGAAAGACCTACCTGACAGGCATCTCAAAACTTACCATGGCTGCAGCCACTTTCTTCTCTGAAGTCCCAGAGTGCAGCCCAGCAAA